ATTGTGGTGGTGGTGGTGGCGTTTCTATTATAGGGGAGAAAGATGGGAGTGGAGGTGGAGGTGGTGGGATAGATGGAGAGGTGAATTCTGGTGGCGATGGTGGTGGTGGGATGTATATGGGAGTTGCAGACATCAATAGCAGACGGATGGATATGACTTCTGGGTTTGGGAGATTTATCTAGGGAGAATTACACTTAGTTCCCCTGCAATTTGTCATTGAATTATTCAAACCCCTAATATTTAAAATATTAAACACAAATTTCCTCAAGTTTATATACATGTAATACTTAAATCCTTCAAGATTAATATCTTCGTTAATAAATTATACTTAAATCCCTTTGAAGTTTGTAGTAAGTATATAATACTCAGACCCCTTAAATTTAAAATATTATACTTAGACAAAAAAATACTTCAATCAAAAATAGAATATCAAATATTATTTTACAATCAAAATTCATATTCTATTGTATTATTTATTGAAATAAAAATAAAAATAAAAATTTAAAATTTTCTTAAAAAAATCGTAATTAGTATATAATTATACTATATATTGAAATAAAACTAAAAAATTAAACACGGGGTCTAAATCATATATAATTTTATATGTTTTTAAGTATATGTGAAAAATGTATAATTTTATTAGAATAATCCACTGGTCGAAACATATTAAGACAATGTTGTTTGCCTTTCTCCCATTGTAATCAATTTTTAAGAAATAAAATAAAGTGTTGATTTATTTGAAAAAAAAAACAAATATATATATTTAACTTTCCTTATTTTTATTTGTTTTTATGTATATGTGGAAAATGTATAATTTTATTAGGTTTGGATGAGTTAACCAAACATAAGATAGGATTAGTTTTGATTGAAATAGATAGAGTCATGAGTAGAATGATAAACTATTATAAAATTATTTGTGTAATCTATGGGGCCAATTAAATAATACATTTATTTTTCAAACAAAGGTTAGGATTGAATATTGCACGGGATAATTCCTGTAATAGTATGAGACAGTGACCTCTAAACTGGCGAACCTGAAACAACAGGGTCAGAAAAAAGGGGGCCAGACAAGCGCTCAGCTGATTCCCTCCGAAGCTTAAGTCAGTATAAGGTCGAAGGGTTTTGTTCAATGAACTATTTTTTTGATTCAAGTTTGCGTCCCTTTGTCATTTTTCGGAGGAATACTTATACCTGAATTAGCAATGATTGTCAAAGATCTCCAGTCTCATCTAAACATCTTACATTTGACACACTGTTCATTTCTATTCAAGTCTCCTCCTATTTAATGCTAGAAAAATGGGTTAAATGGCCGAGCATTTACGCCACTCCCCGAGTACCCAAATCTCTCAAATCGACATCTGACATCAACTAAGTATTGAATACTCGGGGGGAACAGTTCGTCGGGAGAGCCGATTGTGTCGTCTTGGTACGTTAGCCATTAATGCTTAGTCATCATGACAATAGACTTAGACTCTCAGCAGGCAGGGGCTGGCAGACGCACATTTATTTGTCTTGTCATTATCACTCATTCCGCTATAAATGAGGAGTCACATCGCATTAAATATGATGTCAACTGTCGTACTTGGCTGCTCCGTGTCACCATACCTCGACTTACCTTCTTGGCGCCCTTTGGTCATCCCAACAACTTTATTATTCCACGTGTCAACTAGGGAGCTGTAGAGCCACCTAGAGTCCCGTCAAAAATAATTTTGGGTTAGAGTTTTAAAATGGATGAATGATATTGACTTAAATTGATTAGGATATAAAAAAAGAAAACCTACCCTATCTCACCCCATTCCCCAAACACACCGTAGTTTTAAGGATTGTGACAGTGGTTTTTTTAGGTACATGATTCTGATCCATCACGAGCACGAACTGTATCATGGTAGAAAGGGAAATTGAAAATTTACAGTTTTCTCTACCAGAGTTGGTATGATATGGCAGGAATCCGAGAGTCTTTCAACCATGTAAGTTGTCTTCTTTGTCCTATGGCATAACGTGACTTGCAATTTCTTACTGATCACATGAATATGTTAACATGATTGTAAGAAAGACTAAGAACGTACATAACTAGCTATATATCATGCATGTTAATTCATTCATGATTATGTTCTAAGACTTGGACTTGAAAACTCCATATGAGAATTTCAAAATTTTCTTTCTCTTTTTCTTCCCTTTCAAAATTGAATTTGTTACCGTTATGTATGCGCATTCAAAAGAGGGAACTCGGGCAATTGAAAATTCTGGAACGTAAATGTAAATAACACTGCCCCCCAAAAAAAGTGAAAACAGACAAGGGATGGGGCATTTATTTCTTGATGGTACTCAAGCTGTTTGATAGGGATCCTATATGTCTTATTCACTCTCTTTTCCATGGGTGAAGGGACCCAGAAATTCAAGCACAGGATTGGGGTTCGAGTGTGGGATACACCTTAGTTAATGTTCCTCGGGATCACCATCCAATCACATGGCAATAAAGAGCCTCTCCAAATTCCTTCAAGTTATAGAAGAACTTTAGGGTTTTGTCTGTTTCTTTATTCTTCTTTGAAGAGCAACCTTTAATATTCATGTTCCTTCTTTTCTTTCTGTGGGTATTTGTGTATTGTTCATCAATATTGGGTTGTTAATCATTTCAAAAAATTCTTGTTTTTCTCTGGGTGAATTGGAACTGCTATTAATTATTAACTCCTGAAACTGTAACATGGATACAACAGTCCATTCAAGTCTCTACCACAAATTGTCCGTTGATACATGCTAGAATTAAATTATAAAATAGACTTATATAAAATTATCGCTTAAACCTCAAATTATCCCGAGCATGATGCATCCTCCTTATTTACACTTTGCGGGTCTTCAGTTTAGTAGTGACCAACAGTCAAGTATGAGCTCTTAGATGGTGCTGTTCATTTGGTGTCCTTAACTCATATCTTCGGCTATTTTGGAATCCACTTTGTACTAAAAGGATTGACAAGGGAGATGCAACTTGTGGTCATTGTTTCTCTACTCTCAACCGACGTCAATACATATGAGCCATTACATATTTCAACAAGTAGGTTTGTTTAATTCATGGTGAGTGGAATTGCTAGCAGTACAACATGTCAATTGACAGGAAATGCCTGTACAATTTCTTACCCAACCTGCAACATCACACTAGTGTTTTGTGAATCCTCCAAAACTGGCAGCTTTGTGAAACTTGAAGAGATGGTAGTAAAGCAAGAAATGTTATGTTCAAAGTGGATGAACTACCATCTAGAAGACAATGGGGCTCCATATCCATTGTCCAGTGATACACTCATTGTTGTGGTATAACCACTGAAAGATGGTCCGGTAGACGAACCACCTGGTCTAGTACTGGTAAAAAGCTTGAGATAGCAAGTGAAACCATCCAATATCCTTTTCCATTTGAGTCTTTAATGCTGATAATTCTAACAAGACATGGTAGTTGACTCAAATCAAATGCATACATTAGTCAGTAATTTGAAAATGAATTCAAGAGATAAAATTACCATCAAAGTTGAAGTATAAATGTATCGATTGCCACACCAACCTTGAATTACACTTTTTTTTTTTTTTTTACGAATTAGTAGAATGTCAACAAAAACAATGTATAATCAAAACTTATTTAAATTACGTGATTTTTTTGACTATAACAATAGGATTAGGAAGGTTTTTAAATTAGATATAATGGGTGCTTTGGGTGAGGAAAAAGAAATTAAAGTCTATTACTCTTTATGTATACTTGTCCTTTTTTATTTTGTGCAAAAACCATTTGATTAATAACATTTCTTTTTTGTTAATGGAAATAATATGATAGTGAATTGAAAGACCTGCTTCGAATAAAAAACATTCGAGAATATTTAGGCGTAGGTGAAGACAAGATATGAAACCACCTGCTTTTGGTCAACATCATCACATCCACAAAGTCAATATGGATTTGGACTTCGACTGGTAAAGCAAAGCAAAAATAGTAAATTTTTTTTTTTTTTTTATTATTAACATGTTTTGCAAGTAGGATACATTTATGTCCTGTTTGTTATACGAGAAAATTGGATGAATGAAAAAAAAAAAAGAGAAAAAGTGGATGAATAGAAAAAGCTAGTGCGATGGGGGTGTGTCAGTCTCGTTTTCATGAGTGATTTGTGGGGTCCAAATGCCTTTTCATCATTTCATGTGTCACCAAAAGGGTAGGGTGATGAATGGTGATACACTAATCAATCAGTGTTGTGATTGGAGTGATTTGGATATAATAATTGAGTACCAGGTTTTAGAGTCTACCTCTTATTAATAATAATAATGAATGAAGTAGATCTTTGGTACGTCCTTTTTTTAATTCCTCTCCATCATTCTAAATGTTTATTTCGTAACTTGTTTGTTGTAACCGAAATATATATTTATTTATATTTGACGAAAATGTCTTATTTTTAAATTTAATTTAAAAAAATTAATTAAAATATATATAAATTAGTGTAAACAACTTTTATTAATGGAAACCGCTCATCGATTATTTTTTTTTTTCAATAAAGTAGACACCTGTAGACTACTACTACTAGTACAACACATAGGACAGGCATCAGATAAATANGAATGAAGTAGATCTTTGGTACGTCCTTTTTTTAATTCCCCTCCATCATTCTAAATGTTTATTTCGTAATTTGTTTGTTGTAACCGAAATATATATTTATATATTTATTTATATTTGACGAAAATGTCTTATTTTTAAATTTAATTTAAAAAATTTAATTAAAATATATATAAATTAGTGTAAACAACTTTTATTAATGGAAACCGCTCATCGATTATTTTTTTTTTTCAATAAAGTAGACACCTGTAGACTACTACTACTAGTACAACACATAGGACAGGCATCAGATAAATAAATAAATTAAAAGTTAGTAGTACCACACACACCGACGGATCGCCCGCCGATGTATTTTCACTCTCCATCCGTTTCTGCCACCAACCCCCCCCCCCCCCCCCCCCCCCCCCCCCCCCCCCCCTCNCTCGCTGGCAAAGATTCGCTCACTCTCCTTTTATTCTCTCTCTCTCTTTTGTCTTTCGACTACAAAGAAACCTAAGATTCACTGCCATGCTTTTCTTGATCTCGCTTTAGGCCCTTCCGTCGTGACTAGCTAAGACATAGGATTGAAACTCCCACTGTTATTTTTTCATGGGCTGTACAAACTCAAAGCTTGATGACCTCCCGGCGGTGGCGCTGTGTCGCGACCGGTGTGACTTCCTCGATGAAGCGATTCACCAGCGGTACACTCTCGCCGAAGCTCATGTGGCGTACATGCACTCTCTCAAAGGCGTCGGACTTTCTCTTCATCGATTCTTCGATCATGATCTCGATGGTTTCACTCCTGGACCCCCTTCACCGGTTTTAAAACTTCCGACTCAGCGAAAAGGCCATACTGAACCGTTCGGTTCACCTGCAAAGGCGGCGATTCGTCATTCTCACTCTAATTCTGGTTCGCATCTTCATTTTCATTCGGGTTCGGAGGATGAAGATCCAGGTTCGGAATCTCTGCATCACCACCACTCGGAGAATAATGCTTTGCCCGTTCAACAGCATCGTCACATTAGTTATGCCGATTCCGATACCGATACCCTAGGGTTGTTTCCTGAATATAATGGATTGATGAGCTTGAACATCAATTATATGAAGAACCAAACAACCCCGTCGGTGGTGTATGAGCAACGGCCAATAAGTCCCGAGATTGTACGTATGGGCGAATCTTCTTCATACGATCTTTATTCGTACAATAATGCAAACCCCAGCACTTATTCGTACAATAATGCAAACTCCAGCACTTATTCGTACTATAATTTTCCGACTAACGGTGGGTTCTTTGGTTCATCGGCGCCTCTTCCGTATAGTTATTCATCTCCACCACCGCCGGTGGGGGCTTCATCGGCGTCTTCTTCTTCAAAACCGCCTCCGCCTCCCCCGTCACCACCACAGAGCTCGGCTTGGGATTTTCTCTATGCTTTTGAGGGATTTGAGAAGTATTATCCGCCCTATACACCGAGTCGGGACTCGGAGGTTGTAAGAGAGGAAGAGGGGATTCCTGCTTTGGAAGCCGAGGATTTTCGGCAAGAAGTCGCCAAGGACGTACATGGAGAACGGAAAATCATGGAAGGTGGTGGCAGCTCCAGCGGTGGTGATGGTGGTGGTAGCGGCAATTATGCAAAAACGACGGTGGATGATAAGGATGGGAAAACAAATGATTCGAAGTCACTTTACCATACGAGACCGAGTGTTTCAATGGAAAATGATCCGGTGGAGTATGAGGTGCATGTGGTGGACAAGAAGTTGGTTGACAATGAGGAGAGGTCAGGGGATGGGGGCAGTGTGGCTGGTTTGAAGGGTGATTTTGAAGTGGTAAGGGAAATCCAGGTTCAATTTGAGCGAGCTTCTGAGTCGGGAAATGAGCTAACAAAGATGCTTGAGGTTGGAAAACTTCCACATAATCGCAAGCATGCCGCCTATCAAGGTAAAAATTTGTTCTTTCTGTTTAATTAGTCGTGTAATCTTAGTAAGACTTTGTTTAGAGCCACTAATTGTTTGAACAAATTAGATTTCTGGTGATTTAATTGATTGTATGGAAATTTGTACAGGTGTGATAGACATAGACATGTAACTTTCTCAACGTGAAAAATGAGGCCCAAATTAGTTGCAATCTTAAATTCATTCAATTGCTTGTTAACACTCAATTTTTGGGACATTTGTGGAGCAGCTTCGAAGATTTTGCATGTAAATACTCCTTCGTTGTTGGAAGTATCGTCACGGCCTTCTACTTCTAAAAGCACTGAGCCCTCCTTTATTGATCCTGCTTATTTGGATACTGATGAAAATCCGGGGCTGAGGTCCAAAAATCTTTCTTCTTCCTTGCAGAAGCTGTACCTATGGGAGAAGAAACTGTATGACGAAGTAAAGGTGTGTCTTTTTTTTTTTTCCCGTTGATAAGGTGATATTTCCCTTTTACTATTTTATTGTGGAGTATTTGTGGTATTGAAAGTTTAGGATTTCCTTGCGCTTCCTATGAAGCATGATACTCATATGGGGAGAGGTATCCATATCCGAAAGATATCAAATAATGGAATCCATTTTGCTTCATTTTTGGACATGTCTCGAATACATGGGGATATGAGGTGGATACGTTGGAATACGGAAGTAGATTCGGCACATGAAGAGGACAATAAAATACCTTCATTTGATACTTCAATTGCTTTGGGGTGGCACCAAAGATTCGGCTGGTAAAACTATCCTAGGGTTGATTGAGCTTCCCAAGCCTAAAAGACCACATGAGGTGGGACGAATAGGAGATCTCAAATACTGTTAATTCTAATGATTTTAGTCATCCAATAGGCCATTGTTGGGTGCTTAAAGATCATATTCAAAAGTTATGAAATCAGGGTTTAATTGAAATAAACCCTCCTAAGCAACCCAACCCATGGTCACCTCANAATAGGCCATTGTTGGGTGCTTAAAGATCATATTCAAAAGTTATCAAATCAGGGTTTAATTGAAATAAACCCTCCTAAGCAACCCAACCCATGGTCACCTCATAGTTGGATATATTCTTTTGCTCGATCTATATTTCTTTTAGGAAATTGCATACTTTTTGAATTATTATGAAAGAATTGGTTCAAATTTATAATTGTTACGTGTCATTGACTAATAACACTTTAGAATTATATTTTCCTATAAACACATCGTGTCTATATCTGTTTTACTATGATTTGTAAGTTTTGTCGTAAGTCCGTATCGTGTCATTCCCATGTACCTTATTGGAGTGTGTGCTCCGTATGTCACTACATTACTTTTGTACACTGAGCACATCTTCTTTGGACCTTATGTGCCAACCGTCGCTAAAGCATATATTCTCTCATCCTTGTGATCCTACTGCTGCTAAAATAGTTCTTCAACTATATGCATGGATGGCCAATTTGTCACCAACCATTGTCATTTATATCATATTCTATTGTTTCATATTTATGGTAAGTCAACTATTACTTGAATTTGTGATTGAAGTGTAAGAAAATATTAGCAAATTGCATCTTAAGATATGGTGGAGTTATTGGCAATTTGTTTTTAAAACACCTATATATGTAAAGGTGTACACTGAGGCAGTGTCATAAAAATCAGACCTTAGTTTTGTAAGCTTGAGTTGGGTCACTACTCTTTCATGCTCTTGAAGATGGGCTTTTAAACTTAATCCTAAGTTTTATATGTAGTAATTATGTCACTGGTCCACTGAAGTACACTTTTAGCTTCAGCAAAATTATTTTCCAGACTAGTAAGGGGTTAGGTATTGAGCATTTGGAGGGAGGGGATTTACTCTGCACAACTTAATAAGTTTCATGTATAAGTGGTTGTTTGGTACTTTTAAAGCTTTATGCTCTAAAATTATGAGGTTACCTTCATGGTGCTTCTAATTGCCGGTGGACTGTCTACCGTTCTTGTATGGAGGTGAGTCTTAGACCTAAATTAGAATTGGGGGGGGGGGGGGGTTTCCCTTTTTTTTTTAAAAAAATTTTGGGGGGGGGGGGCTATAGAGAGGGGGGGGGGAAAAAAAAACCACAGGCAAAATTTTGTTAAGAAAAAAAATC